GTAATTAGGTAAATCGGAATATTTTATAGGTAAAGCCATAGAGGTAAAATTTAAAAGCAATGTATAATTTTACATTTTTTATAAACATGTAAAATATCAGCTTGAAGTAAAATGACCATATGTATCCATGTCTTAATGTTTTAGAAGATATATAGATATTTTTATGACTTATAAAAATATTGATCCACAATAAGTTTACTTATAAATGTAAATGATCTTTTAAACATGATCACCAAATCCATCTGGATTATGATAGATTCTGCCAAAACATGCAGATATTTCTTCAATCTAATCAGAAGCGATTGTCAAAATCCTGCCATAGCTGTCGATCAATTTAAATGATTGGTTGAATGATCATATGTATAAGCATATGGCCACCTTAAAAGATTTCGCTATGCTTCTGCTGCAAGACATGAAAGGTCAACTGAAGTCTGATGGTTGCTGTGCTGCAAACTACTTGTACCCATGCTGATTACATGTGCTTTCACTTGCTTGTGTAAACACAGTACCAACATAACAGAATCCCTTAGTTGAGAGGAAAACAGACAAATATTCGGCTCTAACACAGATATGATTACTTAGGCAATGAAAGGCAACATGTTATCAGAATGAGTTAACGCAGTTGACAGATCAGCAACTGTCAGATCTTAGTGGGTCTTTCATCAGACTCTTTAGCTGCAGTCTGATGAGTCCTCAGCAAAAAAAACTAATGGTGGGTATGCATTGCACGATTTTCATACACGGAAATCGTACACGAGCAGTCTTTCGAATGAGAATCGACCAGTTGATTGTACATCACCGATTTATGTTTTTGATATTGTGATCAAACTTTTGCGATGGGCACCAGAAAAAACTTTGCTCTCAATTATACCGGGAGATATTAGGAAGCGCAAAAGAGGCGTTCTGCAAAATCGTTTAGTGGCTACTAGAAAACTGATACTGCGATATTGGAAATCATCAGTGATACCACATATTAGAGAGTGGGTTTGTGAAGTTAATTTTATTATGATGATGGAGGAACTTGATTCTCGAGATCCTGAATTTTGTGAAACTTGGAGCCCTTGGAAAGACCTCAACATCTAGTACATTAGAAAAACTCCTATAAGTCTGGCTGAAGAGGAGTAGAAATATTATGAAACTGA